ATACCATACAGTTCTAGAATAATTAGTATGAGTTATGATTTTGCTCTTGTCTAAAAAAATCAGCATATTTAAAATTACCGAATGCATAAACATCTGAAGCCTGCGTAAAAGGAAGTTCCTTCTCATGACATTTTGATGTGCTCTTAACTACGTATCACTTCAGGGGCTAAATAACACAACCAACCAGCGGTATCCTAAACTGTCATTTTTGCTAAAAAAAACATTTTTAATTAATATTTATGAAACAATGCATTTAATTTCAAGTATAATGTATTACCTATTTCCATAACAAAGTTTAGTAACACTGAATAGGCCAAAGTCTGTGATCACAACTTTACCATTTTCCAAAAATATATTCTTACTCTTCAAATCCTTATGCACAATACCTCGAGCATGTAAATATCCCATTCCCTACAAGCAGAAATTAAAATAAAGTTTCTATAAGAGATATTCAACACAAGAAGAATAAAAGTTATAAATGCCATTTTGCCTTAAGAAAAGTTATATAATATACAAAGATAAAAAAATAATAATGATATTTACCTGGGCTATCTGTTGTGCAACCAGTGTAGTTCTATTCATGTTAAATTTATCTTTACGCAAGTGTATGTGTGTGTAAAGTGTCATGCCTTTGCACAAGGCAGTTACAATCGCCAAATGAGGAGGCTTCATGCAGGCACCCATAAATAGCACAACATTTTCATGTCGAGTTTTGCGGAACGTTGAAACCTAGAAATAATATAAATAAATATTTCCATAATAATAAATCAATAAAATAAATTTTTCAAAATTTCACCTCTAATTTGAATGCATCAAAGATTTTTTTTCATTCACATAATCAATTGTTGTATCAAGCACTTTGATAGCTACATCACCGTGCCAATTTCCTCTGTGAACGGTTCCAAATCTACCTTTACCAATAAACATCAGACAGATGCAGTTCATCATAAGGTATATCCCATTCTCGCATAGAAAGCTGTGTGAAAATTTACACAAAATTAAATTAACTAATATCTTTCTATAGTATAACAATATTTTTGTCAGATTGTATTAACTCTATTCTAAAAACAAATATGTTACTAACGCTATTTTGCCTAGGCCATCTTAATTCTCCGGCATTAGTTTCTCCGTCAACACTATCTACTCGTACGGGGGTTCGTTCACTGTCTGTTGAATTTGAGCCACTTAATGAAACTGTTTTATCACTGTCATTGCTTTGCCTCGTGTCTACCAATTCTGAAACACCTGGCTTATGCATAGTATGGGCCTCTAACATGATTTCCTTATCGTGAGGAACTTCTGAAACATTTAAATTTATAAATGATCAAAGGTATCAAGATAAAGTTTGCAATGCATGGGAAGAAAGAAATATTTAATTTTGAATTTTTTTATATATTTATATATATATATATATATATATAATCAATAATTTTATATGTATATCAATCAATCAATATTATAAATTTACTTAAATAGTATTACAAGACATTGAAATCTCAAAAACAATTAAAAATCATTTTTATAGGTTTTATGAACATTTAAATGAAAAAGAATTTAGGTAGTTTTGAAAAAAAGTCAATTAAATATCTAACCTGGAAAATTAAATTGACCCTTTGCTGTTTGCTGAGGTGTAGGAGGAATATTCTGTGCTTGTAAAGCCGGACTAGAAGGAGTTGAGCTATTGCAGCTTGATGTATTTGAACTTGAATCTGGGCCCTGTTATAAAGTACAACAATGTTTTGAGTATTTATTTTGCAAACCGTCAATACAATGATATTGTTTAACAATTTAGTAAGAGATTTTATAAATAAAGTTATTTCTGTTTAATAAATTAATAATTATTTTTACAAATGCTTTAAAACTGGTACATACCTGAAAAGGTGCTATGCTACTAGAATTAGGTTGCGGATGTGATTTTTGTCTATCTCTTCGCAATAATGCTGCAGGAAGTAAATGCCCAGAAGATCCACGACTCGGTGATGAATTATGCTGATATCCTAAATGAATCATCATTAAAGAATACACCTACAACTGAAATAATAGTTAAATTATTATATTTCAACTCACTTTCAGGCAGAAATAACTTTTTGAATTCATCTACAAATCCTTGAGGAAGTCCACATGATGGTGGAACTTTTGGCCCACATTCCTTGTGACAACGAAATTTGCACTCCTTGCAACTTAGTCCTGTTCCTATAAACATTTGCTTTTCACAAAAATCACAACTGCTCATCATTCGAAAAGTCTTAGTGAACCGGTGAGATATTTGATGCCCCATTCCTCTGCTTACTATAGGGTTACGTGGAGAGCGTGGTTGAACTGGCAATGTTGTAGTTGAGCCTGAATTTAATTATATTTATATATATTATAGTATAGTTAATTTTTATATCCTTATTATTGGTTTAGTATAACAAATTATTAAATTTTTAATATAATTTGTCAAACTTAATATTTAGAAACCTTTAGCACTTAAAAAACATTAATATTTACAATTATTTCAATGCAAAAGAATGAAAGAAACTAATAATACCCTTATTATTTTCTTCAATGTCTGTAGAAGTCGATCCTCTTGGAGACTTGAGTGGACTAACTGAGATATAAATATCATCTACAGTAGCATCAGTATTATGTGTAATTGAATTATTTACAATTGCTTGTTTATTCATCATAACTTCTTCAGTCACATTTTCTGTACTTGTACAGTTTAGCTGAGATTCTTGCGATTTTGACTTCATCAAGGAAGTTGCATCAGCAGCTAAACTTTGTTTTGCAGGAGTACAATTATTGCTGCTAATCATTTCAGAAATTACTGGTGAATCTGTGATAGGAACGAACAAAATGTGTGATGATTTTTTTTTTCATTTAAAACCTCAATGATAATACACATTGAGATGTTGAGGTCAGTACAGTACAAAACAAATAGATTACTAAAATAACATACCTGCAGTCAGGCTAGCATTATCCAAGTGAATAGCACCGGTCTGAATAGAATTAAGTGATCCACTTGGAGTTAAAGTCAAATTTTTTTCTGAATGAGAACAGTCATATATGATTCCACTAGAATCCAATAATAAATTGCTTTGAAAATGCTCTTTCTTGTTTATACATTGTAGACTGTCATTAGGAATACTTCTTAAACTCTGAAAGGAATTACTCAAAGTATCATGAGATGAAACACTAGGCGAGCTTCCTAGGCAGTTTTGTTCTACTAAGTGAGCTAATGACTCATGGGACACTTGATTAATTGAATCCTTTCCATTGCCATTAACATTTATCAACTCTTGAGATGAGGGAACAGATTTTCTAGAAGTATGGTTTCTTTGTGGTCTGGGTGATGTAGATTTTAGTAAATTGTGCCTATCCCAAGAATCCCAATGAAGCTCTGATGGTTCTCTTTGATCACCCCGAAGTAGTACTTCTGTGAACAAAATTCATACACATAAAAAACTTGGCACAAAGTAATGCTAAAAATTAATACAATTTTATTTTAATATTAATGTCTTACCTGTATATCTTCTTAGATTATGCAATGCACGACTAAGTCTTCTAATTTCTTCTTCCTTGGCATTTTTCTTAGTGAGCATTTTCTTCAGTTCATGTTCTGATTTATCATGCAGTGCTTCCAAAGAAGATACTTTCTTACAAACAGCCTGCAATATTAAATTAGTGCTAGTAATGTATAAGTCTATTACAGAAAAATAACCAATATGAATATTTATGGAGACAAAAGTTTTAATTGCTCTAATATTTCATGTAATCAAATATCTAATAATACAAAATTTAAAATAATGTTTTTTGTCTTTTGAGTTTTGCAAGGCAACTAAATTAGTGAATAAATGTTAGTTAATTCTTCACATAGTATGGATTTTTTATATCTGACAATAGGAAATTTATTGACACGTTCTTTGTATTTTAAGTCTTGGAAGGCAACTGATTTTAAGTAAAAAATGAATGACAGTTAATTCTTAATATTGTATGGATTATTCAGTACCTGTATAGAATCATCACTTAATCCTACAACTTTCAACCATTGAGTTAATGAAGGTGAATGCTTCATTTCAGATGGTAAAGACCTTTCTTTTTTAAGTTTTGCTTTCGTTACGAGTTGACTACTGAAGAGTTTTATCAGTTTACCCTACAACCATAAGAACAATTGTTTAATATATATGCGGACCTGTCAAATTCATTTGTCAGAAGAGCGACCTAATAGAAATGATATAAATAATTTAATAAAATGTATAGATTTATACACCTCTAGGGTTCGTATTTCTTGCTGTATTAATTCGGTACTTGTTGCACATTGCGTACGGAGACCCTCTAATCTATCAGCCGAAACATCAATAAGATTTTGCACCATCAAGAAACCACGTCTAGCGTCATTATCATGCTCCTCGTCCGACATTTTAAGACGCTAAAGTTTATTATATCGTACTGACATTCTTAAAACATGTCACACTTATTTTTTTACACGCATTGTAAATGTTTAAAAATAAAATCAATGATAATAATTATGTCGTTGTTGAAGGAGCCATCTTTGAACTTGCTATCATGACCAATCATCGACATCGAAGTAGTAAACACTGAACTGAACTGAATCGACCGCGCGACACCTTGCAACACTAATTTTCAACGTACGTTTTTGAATATTAATATTATTCAAAAGTAATAATAATAATATTGAATCATATTTAATTCATTATATTAACATAACAACAATTGGTTGCTTTAATAGAAAGATTAATATTAAATTGATTGATGCCACTACTCACCCTACAACCAAATCCGCTATCCTGATGTTTTCTACTAGAAAAATGAACGATTATTAAAAATTAGTTACTATTTTTATAATAATATACTTTTGTATTATTTTAATTAGAATTCATTTAAATTAACTCATAAAGTTTATTTTCGTCACTGATCATCGTTCACGGTTAATTTCAAATGTTAGTTTCTTCTCTCTTCAATAGTTTGAAAACATCGGACAGAATCCAACAAGATTCATTGTTTTAACCATAGATAAAAGAAGAGGTTTTAACTTACTTTTATAATTAATGAAGAGTATTGAATTGAATGTATTTGTACGATTGTAGAAAATTACTGAACCCTTATGTAAGATCCAGGCCCACAAACCGTCGACCGAACAATTACGTACCAAATATATAATTTTATACTATGAGTAAGACTCACATTCATAGAATAAATAAAGTATTAAATAAAATGAAAAAAATATTATAAATATATATATAATATTATTATATATATTATATATATATATATATATATATATATCAAGTCTTTTATCGGAAGCGTTAAATAAAAACACCGAATTCGAAGCAGCCTGCTTCCCTATATAAGGCGCGCGGCCGTGGCGATGGTATTTGAGTAAGTCCCAACATCGTCTTTCTGACCTGCGGCAATGCGTCGTCCCGGGTTACTGCGTAAATCGTTAGCACAATGGCCTGGGAAAATTAAAAACTGCAAACCCTCATGAGACAAATGTTTGGTCTACAGACCCAGTTGATTTCAAACAGTTTCTTTCGTTAGATTGTAAACGCAACATGATTCTATTAATAATTATAATTATGTTATTCTGAAATAAATGACAAACATAAATTTATGCCATTTATAATAAAATATTTGATATGAAGTTATTTCAAATTTTAAAATTAATTATTTTACTTTTCATTTAATTTTTTTACTTTTATATTACTAATGTCGATTTTTTATTACTAATACTTTTATACTACTAATTATCTATACATTAATGTTTTTGGTGTAAATAAATTATAACTAAGTCTGAAATGAATGTCGGCTTTACCCGAGTACGATGTTATAATAGTAGGAGCAGGAATATCAGGATTAAGTGCAGCTCATCATCTACTGGTCAAGGAAGGAAGTCTTCGGGTCTTAGTTTTAGAGTCTTCTGGTACTGTGACATCAGATTTTGATTACGATTAGAGAAAATATTTCAAGCTCAATTTCGAATTATTTGTAGGGTATAATTACCTATATAATCTCATAAACCAGAATCTCTTTATTTTTCAGATCAAATAGGTGGTAAATTACATACCTTAGGAATGAGAACAAAAAATGATAAATTCTCCACATTTGATATGGGTGCTCATTTTGTTTCATGCAAACAACCACATTTAATGCAAATGATTCAGTCGTTGAAACTGAATCTTCTGGACCAAGTCTCAGATGGTTTACGTATTGGACAAGCAAATAAAAAGGAAAAATATATAGGTTTAGATGTGTTGGAGTTTTTGTCTGCTGTCTCTAAGTTAGAATTGAATAACTTTGTTGCTAAAGTACGTAAACACCCTCATATTTTTATATAAATTAGTTTTAAGTGAATGTATAGTAAACTTATTGCAGATGGATGCCATAAGTGTTGGTATTTCATTCAACATTAGTGATTATGTAGTGGGTTATTCGTATTTAGATAATATAGATTTAGAAGAGTATATGTGCAGCCACTTGTTGACTTCAAGAGCTCGGGAAACTTTCAGGACCATCATCAGAATCATTTGTGGTAAATTATACTTAAAAAATAATTTTAACAATAATATTTATTACCAAGAAAAATTAATAGGTGTAGAGCCTTCTGAAATATCCGTATATTATTTTTTGTGTCTCTGCAATTCTACATTCGGTCTACAAAACTTTTTGTCAAATAAGTTGGGATCAAAGGAGTGCTACATACAGGTACATTTTCGTTCATACCTATATACTCTTGTTTTATCCATGCTTAAAATATATCATATTTTTTTAAATACTTTTGATTAATATAACATGATTGAACAGTAATTTCGTATTAATTCAAATATAAGTAATAATTAAGTAAGTAATAATAAATATATGAATAAAAGTTTTCAGGAGGGATGTGGGAAAATCGTTCGTCAGCTATCGTCACAAATTGGATTCAAATTCATCAAACTCAGGGAAAAAGTCACAACTATTACTCAATCCAAATTTTATGTCACTATTGAAACAATGAAGAAAAAATATATGTTAGTAATAAATGAAAATTATTTATTTAACGATAGCTGATAGTATATTTAATTGATTTTTATTACAGATGTTCTTATGCCATTCTTGCCATTCCACTGGAAGATATGTCATATATTTCATATGAGCCAGATCTTGGGGAAGATATAAATAATCTATTTGAAGAATCAACGGATGCTTGCATTTTACAATTTATAGCAACTTTTGATGAGGTTTGATGGATTTTTACTTTAAGAAATATTAAAATATTATCATGTTCATGAAAAAATATGGAATGATATTAAACTTTAATTGTTTACGCTAATAGTTTTTATATTTTTTCCTTTAACCTGCAACCATTTACTACATTACAACAAGCGAAATCTATTATTTTTTCTTATATTTAAGTCAGGTATAGATAATCTGTTATGAAAATATATAACAACAAATAAATTACATTTTCAAGCGTTACTGGTTTGACCAAGGACTCTCAGGAGAGGTATTTAGCTTGGAAGGACCTGCTCAATATATATATGATATATCAACGTCGTCCTCATACGCTTTGACAGGATTAGTGTACAATATCGAAGGCATAACTGCTAGTAATGAACTGCTAGAAAACCCAGAAAGAGTATATAGACATTTTGATTGAATAATAATTCAATACTCTAATATTAGTATTGAGCAACAATATTAATTACACAGGTTAAAGAATGCATAATAAACCAACTTTCTTTCCTCTTCGGGCCACAAATGGAAAATCCAATTGCCTTTGAATTTCACAATTTTTCGAGCCCTAAGCCTATTGGATTAGGATATGCTAAAGCACTTAATGATATGACTAAACTCAAAGGCCGTTTGCTTTTTGCGGGTGCAGAAACAGCAACCACTTGGCGCTTACATGTTTCTGGGGCTATACAAGCTGGACAACGGAGCGCTACATTGGCTTTACAAGAGCTTAGGCCACAATGTCTAAATGTCAAAGATTATGTTTCTCTTCAGTTAGTAATATATTTATCAAAATAGTTGGTTACGTAAAAATAGATGAATACATAAAAAAATCAACATTTTTAATGCATTTGCATTACACACATTTAATGCAAATAATTTTAAATTGCAGTGCAAAGTTTTATGATGCATCAGGAAGGGCAAGAACAAATTTTGATAGAACAGCACCCAAGTACGTTGATCTATATGGAATTACAGGACTCTTAATATGTGCAGTAATTGCTTATGTTGCTCGAAGGGTGTATAAATGCATGTCACTTATAGCTAAATAAAAGATTATTTCAATATTGAAGTACTTTTGTATTCTTTGTATGAAAATATACATTCATTCTAAATTTTTTTACATAGTTTTTTCAAAATATGTGAAGATATAATTTATAACCAGAAGTAGATAATTTTTAAATGACGTCTTCAACAATATGGTGTAAATATGCTTAAAGCTAATATTAAATCTGGTCATTAGATTTATTTATGACATCACCTGTAATATTTGACTCCATTTCTTCTTGGGCAATAATATTCATGGCATCATCTGTCAATAATAAATAACGATGTCATTTATTGCACATTATTCAAGTATAGTAATTATATTATCATCTTTCTGCAACTAATGCTACGTATTACACATATGATAATTCAAGAATGATAAACATTTAGCTGGCATGGAGAAATAGTAACTGATTATCCAGCATTTATTTTTCATAATAAAAAATATGTTAAAAAACTATGGCATACCAGATTTCAAAACATCAGGCTCATTTTCTTGAATTGAATGTTTCATTTGCTCTGTATCTAGTTTATTCTTAATATGATTCAAAGTGTGGTCCTCAATTCGCTCAAAATAAAGAATAAATTCACAGTGTTTAGTTTGGGGAAACATATCAACTGCAATTGCTTTAACTGGTAGAAATGGTGCTCCACGCATAGTCTTAGATGTTGGCCGAGACAGATCTATCCAATTCTTAATTGCTGAACGAGGACTACAAGCAATGTACACAAGACGTTTTAACTCTACACATCGACGGAGCTGCGTTATAGCACGAGTATCTGACAAAAAAAAATCATGAATTGATTTGAAATAAAATACACATTTAATTGTAATTAAATAAATTATTAATTAACAAACTATATATGTATATATTTTTGAATAGTCTTGAATTTGATGTTGATATATATGTTTAACTTGAGAATTCAAATTAAACATATATATATATATATATATATAATTATATTCAGAACGCACGACTTCTAAAGTAATATATATAAACGTACGCAAGCCAGCCCTTGGTGGATCCACAATAGCTAACACATCCTTTTGATCTTTAGTTGCCCATAATACAGAACTTAAAACATCCTCAGCTGGCCCAGTATGAAATTCAGCATTTTTGATATTATTATTTTCTGCATTTTTCTTTGCATCAATCACTGCTTGTTGTACAATCTCCACGCCAATAACTTTTTCACAATACTATAAATATGAACCAATATTACAATATAAATAGTAAATTTGACGATAATAGAATCAATAACTTTGAAAAGACAAAATAATCATACCAAAATAAATACAATGAAAAATGTAATATGTAAAGCATTGATGACTTGTAGCAAAAATTGCTATTAGGCTGTTGTGGATAATATTTTGATTGAAAATTAATAAATAATTAATTTAACCTTAGCAAATGATAGTCCAATAGTTCCTGTTCCGCAACATATATCCAACAAAGTTGTTTCAGAAGTAGGTTTACTTAATTCTATAGCTTTGGTATATAAAATCTCGGCACATTTGGTATTTACCTAGAATTATATAAAATTTATTGTAAGAATTAATTTATTAATTCAAAATTATTAATGAAATTAAACGGTTCTGAACATAGATAAAAGAAGAGTAGGTTCTGAATATATAACAATACCTTCAAATAGAGAATATAGACAAATTATGCCATTATTATATTGTCTAGGAATTAGTTTTACAACTGATATGGAATCAGATCTATCAGATCTTACTTATGTATCAGACAATCTTTCAAAATTTCAAAACTCGGAAGTCGTTCATAAGTCAGTGAAAAAGAATATCAATTTTGATCTGGCAACACTAAGTATCTTCATAGGGAAATATAGGGTTATGTGGTAATGAGTGCAATGGTTGACAGCATAAGATAATTTGGTTATTTTATTGTTAGCGTATGATAATTGATTGAGATCAGAAGTTGTTTATCAAATATATGATAGAGATTTAATTAAAGTAAGTTTGTCACTAATTTCATATTATTTCATAGAAATACACATATTTAATCTGGGTTACTTTACTTGTGCTTTATAGCAAGATGCCCGACGTCAGTGTGATTGCACCGGCTCCAGTTGAAAATGCAAACACGGAACCACCCCCAGAACAAACTACAAACACCATTGGAATAATATATCCCCCACCAGAAGTACGTAATATTGTAGACAAAACTGCTAGTTTTGTTGCACGTAATGGACCAGAGTTCGAAAATAGAATTCGTCAAAATGAACTAGGGAATCCAAAATTCAATTTTTTGAGTGCAGGTGATCCTTATCATGCTTATTATCAGCAAAAGGTCAAAGATATTCGAGATGGTAAAGGAAATGATCAAAATGCATCTGCATTACCAGCATCTTTGCAAAAACTTTCGGTGACATCTGCAGCACATCAGAAACAACAAGAATTACTGAAACAAATTACTGAACAGCAGTTTGTACCAAAAGATCCTCCACCAGAGTTTGAATTTATTGCAGATCCTCCATCAATTTCAGCTATGGACTTAGATATTGTTAAATTAACTGCTCAATTTGTAGCTAGAAATGGTAGACAATTTCTAACAAATTTAATGAATCGTGAACAGCGAAATTATCAGTTTGACTTTTTGCGACCACAGCACTCTTTATTTCAGTACTTCACTAAGTTGCTTGAACAATATACAAAAGTTTTGATTCCACCAAAGGAGTTAATGAGTAAGTTGGATAATGAAGCTAAGGGAGGTGATTTTATTTTGGAGCAAGTTAAATACCGTGCTGATTGGATTAAGCATCAAGAAGCACAAAAAAGAAAGGAAGAGGAAAAAATAGAACGTGAAAGAGTTGCTTATGCTCAGATTGATTGGCATGAGTTTGTTGTCGTAGAGACAGTAGATTATCAACCCTTTGAACAAGGTAATTTTCCCCCTCCTACTACTCCAGATGATGTAGGTGCTAGAGTGTTAATGCAGGAGCGTTTAGATGACGATGAAGATATTGAAATGCAGCTGGAATCTGATTCTGATGAAGATGAAGAATCTGAATCTACTGCAGTATCATTAAGTGTCATGGAAGATCGTACAAATGTTCGTGACAATAATCAAATACAGGATATGGATGAAGATAGTTCTGATGAAGATGAAGGTAAAAAACAAAAGGATTCAGCTTCATCACAACCTTCTACTGAAAATCTTATGGAGCCCCCGTCACTGGACAAAGTTGTCATAAAAAAATATGATCCAAAGAAGGCAAATAAACCAGCTAAGAGTGAAAACAGTGAAGATTTCCTTATTTCTCCTATAACTGGTGAAAGAATACCAGTAAATAAAGTTGCAGAGCATATGCGTATTGGACTTCTTGATCCAAGGTGGGTCGAAATGCGTGGCCAACAATCTGACAAGCAAGCTCAAGAAAATGTTTATGCCGCTGGTTCAGCCATTGAGGCGAGTCTTAAACAACTAGCTGAAAGGAGAACAGATATTTTCGGTGTGGGTGATGAAGAAGCAGCTATTGGTAAAAAAATTGGAGAAGAAGAAAGCCGCAAAGAAGAACGTGTGACATGGGATGGCCACACTTCAAGTGTGGAGGCAGCTACACGTGCTGCTAGAGCAAATATAACACTTGAAGAGCAAATTCACCAAATACACAAGGTAAAAGGCTTATTACCAGATGAAGAGAAAGAGAAAATAGGTCCAAAGCCAGTTTCTGGAAGACCAGTAAATGTTACTAAACCTGTAATTAACAAGTCAGTTTCTGCAGCACCTGTGTTGACTGCACAACCCGTGTCACAATCAACAGCACCTATGATGACACAAGCTCCAATAATGGCTCAGCCACCACCTATGATGATGATGCAACCCATGAGACCAATGATGGCACGACCAGCATATGGTGTTCCATCACAGCTTCCTTACCTTGGCCCACCAGGTATGCCAACAATGTCTCCTGCAAATATTGGACATATGCCTCCCATGCCACCTATGCCACCTCCACCACAAATGCCAGGTAAGCATGGTTTAGAAATGAGTGCGGAAGATGACATTCCAAATAAAAAACAAAGATCTGAAGATTCACTGGTTCCTGAGCAAGTATTTTTGGCCAGAAACCCAAGTCCTGTGAATTTCAAGGTTCTGGCACCAATGGTTCCTGATAAACCTGAATGGAGGCTTAATGGTCAAATGTTATCTATTGTAATGGCTTTGACCGATAATATAGGCAGTCTCAAATCAAGAATTCAAGAGGAGACTGGAATGCCACCAGCAAAACAAAAATTATCATACGATGGTTTGTTTTATAAAGACACTAATTCATTGGCATTTTACAACATTTCTCCAGGGACAGTTGTTACATTACAAGTAAAAGAAAGAGGTGGAAGAAGAAATTAATTACTATCCTTTAATTAATATGTATCTAATAAAGTTTAATAAAAACCACTTACTTGAAAGAAAGCTTCTGGAGATATTTGATATTGCAGGCCGAGAATTTGATCAGTTATATGAGTTGTTCCCATAATATGTATAACATCTAAAGTAGCCTCTCCTGAAGATCTAAGAATAAGTAATTCACATGAATTCAGTGTTTGATTACCTATTTTAATTGAAGTAACAATAATTACTTACCGTTTTGTAATAAATTGCAGATATAAAGAATTGACTACAATATCTTTTCCTTCACCTGATGAAAAAAAATCTTTCAAATCCTCCTTGAATGCTGTGATTTCAGTTTCAGTCAAATTCTAGAAATACATTCTCAATTTTAAAATTATTAATAAAAATTGCTCTGGATAAGCAATAAATTATGCAGCTCATTGAATTCATAGTTGCAAATAATTTACTGTTTACACATGGTTTATTACTACATTTACATTACACAAAAAAAAAACAACTTATGAATATTCACTAATATTACCTGAGGATGTATGCCAACAATGAGCATTAATTCTCTTGTAAAATTTGAGATCCTTATGGTCAATTGCCTAAAATATCCACTGTGGTCTTCTGGTGAAAATACACTATATTTTGAATTTCTTACGAATATTTGAAAAGCTTTTACTGCAGCTTTCATTTGGTCTGGTATATGATTCAATTCCTCAACTGGAGCTACTGCCGTGGAACCTTTATCATAACTAGTTAATCGAAAACCAACTGTGGGCAAATGATTTTCATCATCCAATCCTATAGAAAATTCACATTTGTTACGATATCCATTTTCCACTGGCGATGGAATTATATTTAATAATTCACAAATATATCCATTGTATTTATTCTTTTGTTTATCTAGCCAAGTTTTTAGTGATGGCTGCATCCACTTCTTTAATTGATGATTGTAGTCCTTTAAAATATTTTGAATTTCTTTTTGCTTCTTTTCCAGCTGAAAACATATAAGAGTATTTCGTAATAAATACTATTCTGAAATAGTATTAATCATAAATAATTATTAAACCTGTTCTGTATAAGTTAGATTCCAATATGGAGTGGTAGAATTTTTCAGTTTTTCATCTTGTGAAATATTATCTTTAATTTTTTTTGTAGCTTGATCAATGGCTTCTAATTGTTTTCTTTTCTTGACCAAAGGGTCTGGTGCTGGTTTGGCTTCCTACATACATAAAAACGTGATATTACTTAATTGTCAATTGCAATACTTATTGTTCAATAAGAAATTATTCATCCTCCAAATCAAATTCATTATAGAATTTATGTTAGTAGTGTATTGTATTATAATACAATACTATTATAATACTTCACTATTACAATACTTTAGCAGTATATATACTGCTGAATTATCATAATACACTTTTATTTCATAATTAAATTGATTTACATGTGCTGATAATGATTTGCCTTTCCACTGAAATCCATTTATTTTTTGTAGAGCTTTTTTTCGATCATCTTCGCTGCGAAAACATACAAAGGCCCAAGGATTACCCGGACGTATAGTTTTTATTTTAACGCAGTCCAATGATAATTTATCGCTCATTAATTTTTTAAACTCCTAAAATAGACAAAATATATAATTTTCTTTGGTACAGTTCTTTAAATAATCTAAAATACAAAATAAACTAAAACGTACACTAATGCCATAAAACTTTGGTAATCCACGTATTTCAACTTTAAATATTTCTGAAGTAAAACCATCACGATTTAAATAATCATAAACATCATCTTGATTTTTTGGTTGTTCCAATTCTGCTTTAATTTCCACATTTTCATTTGACTGAGTATTTTCAGAAATCATTTTAAACAAATTAGAATAAGCACATGTCCTAACCTCTTTAATAACTTCGATAAGAATGTCAAACAGCTGTCAGAATAAGCCGAAAGGCAGAAGACACTTATTTCATTAATTTAAATATTAAAAATATTATTTAAAAACGTGCACATAAATATGACAACTTCACTTTTTTCAATTTTTAACTGTTCTTTAAATGCTATCAACATTTTTAATAGTTGTTAAAATTATTTGTAACTATCCTATATTTTCGTTACTTGTATTACATGTCCAATTTGTGTAAATTCATGTTCAATATAACTGTTAACGTTAATATAGTTTATGACCATGAATCTTAGTAGATTATTTACCAAAATAAATTTCTACATTTTATTTAATTTGTGTAATTTTTTATCAATTTTTGAAATTGGTCTAAAGTTTCAATACAGTTATTTTGAAATAAATAAATGCCCAAAGTGTTATGGAATGGATTTGTGCAACCTTTTACTAGATGATAATCTTATAATTCTAGACATTTTTTCTCTCATATTTTCATTTAAAAATGTAGTACACTGCAAATATTTAGATCAAAGAATAGTTTTAAAAAAATTAGGTTCTGAACAAGATTTATCACAACTTGATTTATTACCAAATGAAAATATAAAAAGTTGTGATAGACAAAGTATAATGACTAAAATATATAATTCTTTAATGTTAAAAGTCATTGATGACGGCTTAGAAAATAACTTCAGTTTGCAAATGTGTCCTAGAGTAAATAAATTTGAATATGTAATTGAACAGATTGCATCCCAAAGAAATATGTTCAAAAATGAAGCCAAGTATTGCAGTTTTTTATATAATATGTATATAACATTATACATTAATCCAGAGCCAATCCTTTTGCAGGTCAGTTAAATTATATTTTCTATGAAGCAAACTTTATTTTATTTTTTATTTATTTAAGTAATTGCACTCATTTTTTAAGATGCTAAATTATGAAGAGTATCCCATAGCAAAACATTTAGGGTTTTGCGGTCGATTGTATGCACAGTCCTATATGGGTGAAACAATTAATAAATTCTACTCTTCAGATTGGAAAATAAGAGCTAATATTACAATTCAATTACTTAATGCCGCTTTTGTATTTACATTCAAACACGAAATGTTTAGGTAAAGTTTAACTTTGCAAGTATATAAATATAATATTCATCAAGTATTCACTTCTATATTTAATATTATTATTAGGATATATTTAACTGATATTTCAATGGATAATATAGCTGTATCTAAGAGTGGAAAAGTATCCTACATTGATCTCGAACATATTATTTTAGTAGATAAACAGTTTGAAAATGGTAATAATTTTAAACAATAAAATTATTTTTCATTTTAATCAAAATAGTATTTTCAGTGAGCTATAGCAAATGGTACAATAACCACACAAGTGAGATTATAAAATGTGATAATAAAGATTGCTTTGCATTTTCGCCTACAGATATATGTTCACATAATTTAAGTGATCACAATATTTATATGACTTGTGAGGTTTGTTAAAAGTTAAAAGTGAATTATTATATTCTGAATAACTAAATTTTTAAAATAGTTAAAATAATTATTAACATTTCAGATGCTTTTAAATGAATCTCATAACTATCTTCATGGAATTCCAAAAGAAATTAATGAAAGATTTCCAAATCTAGTCGACCTATTACATGACTGTGTCAATCCTTTTAGAGCCAATGTTACAAAATCGAGATTTTCTGTAAGCTTAGAAATAAAACATATGTTAGAAGAAAGTATACAAATATTGTCATCTACTTAGCTTAAAAGTTAATGTATATACTTGTTCATTTAAAGGAAACATAAATCAGTTTGTTATCTTAATTTGTATATTATATACTATAGTTTTATAATAACAGATCTAAAAATTTCATATTTTAACATAATACAAAAATAAAGAGAGCTTTAATAAGATCAAAGTTTTTACCAATTTTAAATAAAACTTATTCTTGTCAATGTTTTCTAATCGAGCAGCAAATTAATCTGCTTAACAAAGAATGCAAACGTATGTTTTTATAATATCACATATAAATTGTCAAAAATTATATACTAGATCACGGGCACTACTGCAGCACCAACACCTCCTTCATGAGCACACATGGCAGGCGCCATTGACCACTCATTTGCAATTGGATCATATACTTCAACAGTTGATAAATTACTCTCACCATCATATCCTATAACACATTTAAACTAGCATAACGAATGGCGAGTTCATAAAAAATATATAATATTAAGATAGAAAAAATAAATTGTTTTAAAATCACAAGATTAAGAATAGATTAACAATTAAGATAGAAAAAATTGCTAATATGCTAGAAGTCATTACTTTTATATTGAAAGTTTTATTTTCTAATGTCTATAAACTTTTTGAACATAAACTGAGTGAGAAATTAAGATATTTTACTAATTATATCTTACCCCCAATAGCCCAAAGCTTGCCCATGTTTGCAACTAAAGCTACCCTTGATCTCATGACATTCATGGGCGCAACAAATGACCAAGAATTTGTAACAGGGTCAAACATTTCTACAGTTTGAAGAAATTTTGAACCGTCATATCCTCCACAAACATATAATTTACCATTTAGAGGAGCAACGCCTAAGCGACATCTACAACATAATAATTAAAATCATGAAGCCAATAATGATAAATTAAAAATAAAGTTTGGATGAATATAAAAAATTGTAATAAGAGGGACAATTAATCTAAATGCATAATTACTTTCAATAAGCTTTAAAAATTTACAAAAAAAAAAGAATAACACCTTCTTGTTAGCATAGATTCCATTTTCACCCAAGTGTCTGTTCTGGGATCATATCTTTCAACAGAATCAAAAATGGAAAGTCCATCATGACCACCTAATGCCCAAATATAACCAGATAATGAAGCCACACCACCAGCAGAACGATATTTTATCATGGGACTTATTAATTTCCATGTATCGGTATTTGGATTATAACATTCTAAAATAGAATATATGATGTAAGCGGTATGATAAAATAAACCTAGAAACTTTAATTACATTTATAAAATTTATAAATGTGAATCATTATTTATCACCAAAATACAAAAAATTAAATATATTTTTTCAATCAATGTAAAAATAACATACCGACTGTATTAAGTGATGTTATTCCATCATATCCTCCACAAACATAAATCAGATTTCCTAATGTAGCAACTCCAACAGCACTAAATTCAAAAAAGTTAAAAAAAAAATGATTTCAAATATTAATATTGAGAAAGTGTGATAACAACTTCAGAATATGATAATTTTTTGAAAAAATGATTCAAAACATTTGAAGTTTAAGTTTATATAAAGTGGTAAATTTACCTTCGTTTATATTGCATGGGACTACCCTTTTCCCATCGTTTTAGCACAGGATCATAAATTTCTACAGTTTTTAACCTCTCAGTTCCATTAAAACCTCCGAAAGCATATAAACGACCTTTGGAAACAGCAACACCTACTCGAGATCTCATCATGCACATTGCTTCACCTATTTGCCATTGGCCAAGTTTAGGATCAAATGTTTCTACAGCTGATACAGAGTCTCCTACAAAATTTACTTTAGATACTTTCTGTTGAAAAGTTGATAAATTAAATAAAATAATCAATTAATTTAATTCAACACATCCCAGATAGAACATTTTTCTAATAATTTGTTGAAGAATAAACAAACCATTTTTAGTAAGTCCTCCAACAGCATAAATATGTCCAATGGAATATTCAAATACTCTAGGTTGTGTTCGAAATCTAGGAATAAGACTTCTTCGTTCAGGCATTAAATGATAATCCTTTGCTTCATCTAGAAGATCTCTGATTTAAAATAAATATATTAAAATTAATATTAACAACTAGTTGAAAATACTTTTGGAAAAACAGAAAAATAACACAGTTTATCTTAACATGATTTTTAACAGAAGTTTATTTTAATTAAAATTAATCATTTAAGAAGTAATAAATGTTTACTATGCACCTGCATTTATGAGATGTTCTAATCATTTCTTCTGTTGCTACTCGATCAGCTAAATATTGTGGAGGTAATAAAGGTAATCTAATATGTGCCAGCAACTCAGGTAAGTATTGCTGTCTTTCATCTGGATTGTGTCCAATCCAACCCATTAAAGCTTCAAACACTTCAGACTCGCTATAGTAAAAAGCAACACTTTAACTTGATATTGCTTCTAAGTTTTTGAAACTAATATAAAAATAATGAATCCTGTAATTACCTACTGATATCTAAACCATCACATTGAATTATATTTAATACTTCAGTATTTGATAATAGTAAAAATTCATCACTTAAACACACTTCATGAAAGAATTGTGCCAAGTAAATATCTGCATGTGTTTTTAATTTAGTACATCCCAATGTTTCTGCAAATTGTCTTATTCCAAGCACATTGTGGGGATGAAATCTTCAAATGAAATCGTTTAATTAATATTTGAAATGTATTCAATGGCTTTTTGAAATTATTATCAATACCTCATTTTTAAAAAATCTGCACAAGCATCACGAACTTTTGTCAGTTGCAAAAAGGAAGCTCCAACCATGAGAGATTGTACATTTCTATTTGATATTGTAACCTTGCCAGAATAAGCAAAATTTATAAGGGTTTCTAAAGCTCTAAAGAAAGAAAAACATTATTTTAAAGAATGCAACATGTACTTATTTCAACATTTTAAAAACTCTCTGCCACATACACACAAAAAATATTTCATACATACATTTATACAAATATTTTTTATCAAAGTTATAATAAACATACTTTGGCTCTATTCCTTTCATAACTATATCTCTTTTCTTACTTTCTACCATATTGTGTGTGAACATTGCGTAAAAGTATGGAATTGAAGCAGCTAAAACAATTCTATGAGCGGAAAAGGACTGGTCTTCCACCTAGAGGATATTCATAGTTTATTATAGTTTCATAATTATTATATCATATGAATAAGCATTTCATAAACCCGATTACTTTCAAATTAGAGTATAAAACGGATTTTTTGTTTCAAAAATATAAATTTAAATAACGCATATTATATTATATAAAGCAAGTTATAAGTAGACTTAATGCAGGGACAAGCCCCAAAATTCCAACGTTACTTTTAAAGTGACATCACACAGTTTTCCCTGGCGCCTAATTTCTTCCATGACTGTTAGGCCCTCAGCAAATAGCTCACTTTGTTGAAAATATGAACAATCCTCGTCATCTGCTACTTCCATACTTATAGTGTCGCACATTTTTTTCAAATAAATTTCTTAATTTTTATCATTAAAATTTATCACTAATATTTCATAATAATATAATTTTTGTTTATAGTGACCATCCTTTATTTATTATAATTCAAAAACTTCAAATCTAACAATACCTATAGAAATTCCATTAGCAAAAATATAAATAGTATAAAATATAAAAAGTAATCAGGAAATGGTCCTACTAAAATTTGACTTTTGCTTAGTGTGTCAAAATTAGAATTATTTGACATTTTGGTTATAAACAGAAAAGTACTGTCAATGTCACCAACATAAAAATCATACACCTAGCGGTGAGAGAAACAACCAGAAACGTGTGAAGAACGTCGCAAACTGTCAAGTTGTTTTATTTATTTTATTTAATAATAAAAGTTTATTTATCTACGGCCTGGACAATACAATTCATAAGCTCGGACCAGCTCAGTCAAAATAGCCTGATATATTATTTTTAAGATTGAACAGATTGAATTGTGTAAATTTATTACATACAAAAATGCCTTTTGGACTTTTGGAAATATTTTTTTTAATAATTTATAAATCACATTAGGCAGATTGTAGATTTACATTTAAACATTATTTAAGAATTTCTTTTTGATTATGTTTAGATTAGATTGATATTTCAATCCCTTTAAAAAAATATGTTCAGGAAATAGATCAACCTAAGTTTCTTCTTTGGGAAGTTAAATATTCTATACATATTAAAACTAAAAACGATGCATTTTAATGAATCTTAATTATGATGACCTATATCTTAAAACGCAAGCTTCTTCATTAATAGGTATATGTGTTGCTCAACTTGAAATCCATGTAAATTATTGGCATCACCTTGAAGACGCATTAGTAATCCCCCAAATGAAACATAAGCAGCTAACCTACTAGATGCCTCCATGGCATTGTCGTCACCCTCAAGTCTGTATATTTTTCCTAATATATAAAAGAATTACATGTAATTTCTTTAACACGTTAGCTCAATGTAAAAAAGTTCATATATTCACCAGACATAACATATTCAAAACTGTCTGCTCTGGATCCTTCACTTTCTATCGGACTCCAATCATTTGGTCCACTGTCTGGATATCCATCTGCTCGTAAAGTAGTAGCAAGAACAAGTCGAAATTTGTCTCCAAGTTCCATAGGATATATCCAAGAGTTTATATCTAGTATCAAATCCATTTTGAATGATTCTGATTCACAATGCAATCGACTAACCCTGTCGAATTTTTTGCCTTCAGGATCCATATCCTTCACATTAAAAATATCTTCGAACAAAACACCAGCCATTTTTAGGTTAACAATGCAATTTCTTAATTCTTTGACAAGAAAAGTTCATGAATGAATTACAAATGCGTTGATTTATTTTATGCAATTCGAATAAATAGACACGAGCATTCGGCGATTTATAAATATTAACCAATAATTTTTATTTCTCAAATAATATAAAACAGAAGGAATAGGAAATAACGCATTTAGGTTCAACTCAACTTGTCAAACCGCTGACATGCTACCAACGCTAAAATGCTAATAAATTTTATAGGGCAAGCTCTCCTCTAGCGGATTTTAATGTGAAATTCGACGACCAACAAATATGGCAGATGACACATTTATGAGTTGAATTTGCTGTCAACTAATATCCTTATTAGAATACCGTGTTCCTTATCTATGACCGTGTTCATATAGACCAGCGATTCCCAAAGTGGTCCACATGAACCCCCAGGGGTCCATGGCAACTTTTAAGGGGTCCACGGCAGGGAAAACAAAATTTGGGGGTCCACGTGGGTCCACGTGGGACCACGAAATAAAAACGGGGGTTCACGGCATATTTAGAAATGATTTAAACTTTAAATGTTAGTATTGAGCTCGGAGCCAGCCACCTATCAACCACGCATATCTCAGAAACTATTGAATGATCCAACTTTAAATTTTGGTCACAATCTTAGTAAAGTATAGTAACAATGTGTGTCAAGTTTCATCAAAATCGAATTATGCATTTTTGAAAACGTACAAACTGTTTCAATACTAGTATTGAGAGCGGAGCGAGCCACCCATCAACCTCGCATATCTCAGAAACTATTGAATGATCCAACTTTAAATTTTGGTCACAATCTTAGTAAAGTATAGTAACAATGTGTGTCAAGTTTCATCAAAATCGAATTATGCATTTTTGAAAACGTACAAACTGTTTCAATACTGGTATTGAGAGCGGAGCGAGCCACCCATCAACCTCGCATATCTTAAAAACTATTGAATTGAAGTGAAAAGGCCCTGAAACTAATATTCATTTTGGTGTAAAACGTGCACTTTTACGTTGGACATTTGTTGATATTCATATTTTTACATTTTCTCTTCATTAATCTAGCCAAAGTTTGTAATGTTTAACCATTATACAGAGATGCAGCGTAATGCGCTTTGATATTTCGTAAAAAAAATCAAATTTTCGAAATAATTTAAAGCATTTAAAAATTTTAACTTACCGTTCGGGAAGTTCCAGCAATTTGCCTTAAGGCACGATGCCATGCAACACTAGTTTATTATTGCCTTTATTAACTAATTACCATTATTCACGTTACATTTATTCGATTTTTACTTCCTAAACTTCTGCTTCCCACCCAGTACTACGCTTCGATTTCCAATTGCCTGTAAAATCTCCTCCATCGCAAGTAGTCAGCCAATGATCATCAGCATTGTCGTTGTTCTTAATTTTCTTAGTTCTATTTTACCTTAGAGCGTCAATATCAACAAATATCATGAAACGAATATATAAAATAACTGCATTTTTGAAATAACATGTGTTAATAAGATTTCGGAAAATAAATATAATATTTATTCACACCCATACTTTTCCAATTTTTTTTGAACGCCAAGAAAAAATAAATTTAGCAAATCGCATTTTCTGGTGAAAGCATAACTTCTTCAAAAACTTATACATAGGGAGTAGTTTAATTTAAATATAGTAAAGCAACAAGAAGAAACGCAACTTGATCGAATTTGTAAAAATAGTTTTAATTCCGTGGAAGTAGAAAATGCTCTAGTTCCATCGTCTGATAAGACAAATTGGTAGATATGAACTTAATTAAAACGAACTCGGGATGAAGAGCCATATATGCTTAGCAAAACAATATGCAATTTGCTAACAATGGTTCTATCTCATAGTTGCACCAGTTTTAAAATTACTATCACAACTGCGAGTCAAAGAAGTTAAATTTCTCCATGTATTGTTTGAGTTGATTAGATAGACCATTGCAATGTTCTACTTGTGGAATATTACGAAACAACAACATATATTGTTTTTCGTGCAGTTAGAACGAGGCAAATGCTATTACTTTGAAACGATAATTGCGAGGTAGTTTATTTCACTAATGTCGAGCTGAACAGCATCAGAGTATGATCCAGAGTAACCCATATCAGTCCGAACACTTTTATCATAACTCAATTATGATGTTACTTGTAATTTGTAAGTCACTCATTTCAAAATTTGAAACTTTTTTCCTAGGCAGAAAGTTTTTGAATAATTCAAATCGGCCTTAGCTCTAAAAAAACTCAAATTTTTTGCAAATTTAGCTTTGCCAAAAACTAATAATTAAGCACATCTCCCTAACAATAAAAATAAAATGCTTTTTGAACCATTCGAATAAGTTGATCCGTGTTGATCTGCCCGAATTGTAGCCATACAAGGTATGCCAAAATTTTCAATTTCTATTTTTGAACAATTACAATAAGTTACCCTACGAAACTACTAAATCCCAATTTAATTCTCATGATATGCATAAAATGTTGCGGATTATGCCATCAAATAAAAAAGACGTTAGAGAATCCTACTTTTCCATGAGTTCCGACAAAAAGTTGTCATCATCAGTGGATACGAATAACATGAAATACATGTACGTACATGAGAATAATGCATTTCTTATATCATTTTCTTCGTGGTATTAGCATGTAAATTTTGTCTATTTATAATATCCATGTTTCTGAAAAAAGATAAAAAATATTGAAACACACGAACATAACCGCAAGCGTACATGGACAGGGATTCTCAGATCAAATAAGAAGCACAAAATGAAATAAAAGCACAGCTAGAGTATGTTGAAATTTAACTATATTTCATTTTTGTCTGCTTTGTTATTCAATCTTGTATAATTCATAAGTAGAGTCTCAAAAATCCTAAGAAACTTTGGTTGGAGTGTGGACTATCTTAAATTCTTTAATTTAAACGTATAAATTTTAATTTAAACGTATTTCTATTTATATTATCAAGTGGAAATCGATTTCACTACTGCTTGGCATCAAGCAGCCCGAGACGCCTGAGACCTCTGATTGAAAGCTCATAGATCGTAGCCATGAGAGAGCTCTCATTGCACATAACTTGTATTTTACGAATGCTTTTCTTTTCTGGGCAAAATGTTACTCGTTAAGCGAGGCTCGGCTGCAATTTCGGGCTTCTTCCCAAAGCGGCACTAAATGTAACGTTAGAGCGAGATATTTATCAATAGTTATTGTAGTTTGCGGGTGGTTTTCGCTTTAGAGCACACATAAGACATAAATTCATAACATCGTTATATTGTTTTTCAGCCGCCTAGACGCACACTCAAATTTATTGCGTTTAATAACGGCGCGACCGTGGCACATCCACAAATAACGACTTATATGTCAGAAACGAGCGGTTAGTTTATGCAGCTAAACCTGATATACTTTAACAGCAAATGATAATGGCCGATGTGATGCTTTTCATATTTATATTTTAATATCTAGTACGGATGACGAGGTAGAAACGATTCTGGTAGTCTAATACTGAATCTGCTGCATTTATTCAATCGAGAATTGGCTACAATGGATAAAAAAACAATGTTTTTACTATATTTGTTACATGTTATTAATAAATGTTTTATTTGGAAAATAGTCTATTCTAGAGGTGATAAAGTGGGGTGTCTCCAAAAAGTGGCTCCTGACCATACCCATGATTTCAGAATATCTATATATGGGTCAAAAAGTCGCATAGGCACATATCATTTTCGGATACTAAGGATCAAAATAAGATACTCTGCTGAAGAAACCATACCTCTAGAATAAGTTTTGATGTCCCGTGCATTGACCCAAAAATAAGGGTTCAAATTTTTCATTCAATTTTACCCGTATTTTTCGGCTAATTAACATTACCACATTTTGGACATAAATAAACTTAATAATTGAGGTGATAGCAATAAGAAGTAAAAAGTTAACAAATGAGCTAGTACAAAAATAATTAAAAAAAATCATCATTGGCTTTAATGTAACAATGCTATTTATTTTTCGTTCAAAATTATTTGAATCAATAAAAATCCTACCCGTATTTGTTTGATTTTCCACAAACGTGTCGGAGTATATAAAATAAATTTATATTTTGATAAAGCGCAACGCAGAATCTACATCCACGCACTAATTTTAATTTTAATTATACATTTTTCCTCGCTGTATCAAAACAGAAAACAAATAACATAAAAGTTTGTAGTTAACTATTCTCTATATAATCAAAAATCAAATTAACTTTAACGGCACAAAAGAGAACTTCATTTAAAATTTGGTTTCAGGCAAATTCAATTTATACTCTCTTTTACCTGACCGCTCTATGTAAAAATGAGAATATTTCACAATGATTCTTTAACGGTTTTGCTGCTATATACTGATTTGATTCACAGAGATCAATCAAATGCAATTTCAATCAAATATCATTAGTTTTTTTTAAATAAATCATATTTTTCTTTGATCGCAATCAAACAGGTGCAATAGGGTTGAAACTAAAACTGGTATGTGAAAAGATGCGAAATTATTCATGGTTAACAGATTATTAATTAAATGTATCGAGATAGAATAAAATATAATAATTAATACTGCATATGAATATTTATTTTATTGCGTATAAAGTTAAATGATTCACTGTTGGATAAATAAAAAATTTAATTAGCAAAAGTGTATAGGTAAACCACTAGAAATAATTAGTATTAAAGCTAAATTTTAAACCAATATAAGTAATAATATTAATCTCGCTTGAATAGAATAATTTTTACACAAAAACACTGAATATGTGTATCAATTTTAATAACGAGCCGAATATTTGTTTCTAAATTTTTAAATAAAAACTTTGAATGATAAAAATGACAAATGAATCAATTTAAAAATCTTCAGTAATTTACACACTATTTAACAAGATTTATTATAATCAAAACCTATTAAATTCCGTTCATTCAATGTATAGTCTTAAAATATTTTAGTTAGATTCATCAATTTGAATTTTTAAGGAAAAAAAAATGATTAGTTTTCAATCATTCGATTTATAAATTATTTGCGGTGGGTACTATATTTTCAGAAACATAGAAAGCAACCAGATTGATCTTACGAAATGTATTTTTTTTTTGGCACCTGATCAGAGTCATTTAATTGCACATGTTCTATTAGTAAGTTAAGTGAAAATTTACAACGCCTTTCCTAATTTTAGTTCACATCGTTAAGAGTGAAATAGATTTTAT